TATTATATATGCTATAGTTGTGTGATTCAATTGCCAAACTTCATTCACGCCTATTTCTCGCCCGGGACGCTTATATTTTATTTGTTCGTGTCTCCAGAAAAATGTATATTTCTTCTTGTTTTTACGTTCGAGCAGAGTATCGACCGGTCATTATTGATTGTTCGATTGATTCGCAGATGTCAATCGTGCCTCTAGTTTTCCGCGATTGGTGGGACGATATCGATCGTCCCGTCTCGCGGCTCTTGGATCAACACTTTGGCACTGGCCTCCACCGAGATGATCTGATTTCGAATTTTACCGGTCTTGGTTTCAATCGAGCCCCTTTACGCTCGATTATCGGGAACACGTACTATCGACCGTGGAAGAACGTGACGCGTCAGAGCTCAAGCGGATCTAGCACGATCCAGTTGGACAATAATAATTTCCAGGTTGGTATTTAGAACGATTTTGCGCACAGAAATAAAAAAGAATGTCGCGTAGTGCGATTAGATCGAAAGTGAAGTCGCATACTGCTTTTTGTGAATCTCTACGAGCAAAATAAAATTTTTGATCTGCAGCTTTTTTCTGTCACAACGGATCAGCGAAATAATAAAATGACTAAAGTGCCTATTTTTAATGCTGTCCAGTCGCTAAAATTTTAATTAATTTTATTAATAATATTTTAACGATACTTTATTCGACTGAGATGTTGTGTCCAAATATCTTATTAATCTCGATGTCGTATGATGACACGTTTATTTCTTTTGTCTTAATAATAGTTCTATTCAAAAAGAATTTTGTTGCCAAACAGACTATTTTTGTATCTTGACGTATCTGAATTAGTGCTTTTTAACTATCTTTATGTTTGTTACATGTTTCCGTTTGCTAATTATTTTTAGAAATTTATTCAGTTTATTGCTTCGAGAAGTTTTCGTAGAAACACGGAAAATTTTAGATTTATTTATCAGAAAATGTATTCATTTTCACCTATTGACCCTGTGCTCGTGTATATTACGTGACGTTACTGTGAAACGATTTTTTGTTATTTACATCACCAAACGATTCTTTATTTAGTCTTTACATTCGTGATAAAACGAGAAATGACCTCAAATTAAAAGCTTTGCTTTGTAAGAGTAGTTTTGCTTTTATTGGTACTTTAATTGCTATTAGAGTTTGTCATTTTGATGTTCGTAATTGTTGTCTTAGAATGCGCATTTATCTACATGATGTTTCATCTAGTTACGTTCAAGTCTTGCGATCAGATGGGCTTATTGAGCTCGAAATATCTTTTTGCTAAAATTAATGCAATTTGCAAAGGATGCCTCGTGAGTTTATCCTCTATGTGTCAGTTCAAGATGCTAATGATCGAGTTTGATCGGACCTTTTATTTGCATAGTCATTAATACGATAGCATTTTTTCTCAGGAAAGTGTTAAAAGCTTACTTAAAAATACATTATAGGGCAAAAGTACTGCTGCAATGGTCCAATTCCGTCTTTCGCAAAATCCTGCCAGCTGCAGGATTTTGCGAAAGAAAGGAATTGGCCAGAAATTATTTAGAACAATAAGAAGTTCAAAGATTTAATATCTCCTTACGCAATAATCGATTCAATAATAATAATCGATAACGTAAATCGATGATAAAACGGTTATCACCTCTCAATTAATTCGCAATTCAAATCTCGCCGCTAATTTCGCTTCGAGGATATCGTTATTCTAAATTGCTTATAATTTTTGAAGCCGCTTTTGCGAGTTTTTGCAATTTCTGAAAGCAATCTTCTATTTGTGTTATCTCAAAATGCGTCAGACGGAAAACTCTTTATTTTCTTGTCAAATGTGCGTTCGCTCGTTCGGTTTAGTTTCAGAGTGCGGCAAGAAAACGTAAACAAGAAGCAACGCGCGTTAAAATTATCATGGAATGTCCCGAACGCGAATGAGTTAATATATTATTTTTAGACGTGTTTTAGAGTGTATTTTTATTCGTTATGAGTAAGAGAATTGCAGAACCGCCTACGGCTATCGTGTAACCTTCCCGGATTGTGGAAAGTTACGCGATAGCCGTCGCGATTCTAATACGACTATTAATAAATGCGATTTACGAATCGGAGAAAAATTCACGGGAATCGCGATTCGGGATGATATGCACGCGATTAATATCTAGGATTAACACGCGCTGCGGATATACCGATTATCTTACGCTGCAGTTATTCTAAAACACACAATAGATAAGTCAAGAATCTCAAGAATCGACTGCTCTGTTGTCGCGTTCGCGAGTATCGCGAGTAGATTAGATTGGGCCTGGATCAGTCTGCAAAAGGCATTTCTCTTTCTCAAAAAGATTCTACGAGGATAAAGAGTACGTTATATCTCTTTGATTATTTGACCTCTTTAAATCTTCGACTATATCCTCGTGATTTCAAACTGGATAAAACGTCCGCGAAATCGCTCTACTTTACAATCCTCTAGATCGCTCAGCTATCCGCCTCAGATTTACTGTGACTTAGTAACTCGACAGTAATATCGATCGTTAATTTACAATTTGTGCTCATAAAAGTCGCTTAACAAGTTTCGAAATCATAAATGCGCGTATATTATGAGTAGCTTTTATTTACCGTGAAAGTGTCATGATAGTCTAAATTCATGAATTCGCAAAAGAAAGAATTATTGGCCTGTTATAATATTATTTATCTTATCTCGAAAGTTCGATGAAATATCGCGAGCAAAATATAACCGGTTTATTGTTTTTGCGATAACTTAATCACGGCCTGAAGCGACAATCATTTTCTTTTTTCTATAGTGGTTATCTACGTCAAATACAAAATGTGTAATTCGCCTAAACTCATGAATTCGCACGTCGTCGGTTCACCAAATTACATTTATCGCGATTTTATTATGAATGTACAGGACAGTTCTAAATTCATGAATTCAAGATTATTCTGACCCAATGCGTTATAATTACAATTGCCTTCTGTTGAGGAAGTTCGATGATGCAACAGCGAGCGAAATGTGTAATCGGTTTACGCGTTTATAACTTAGGCTGAGACACGACTTAAACTGACGATCTCTTTAGTGGTTTTTTTGGTGTTTATAATTCGAGCGCGATTTGTATTGGACGCAAAACATATTTTATATCGAATACAAAGAGCCTCGATAATGATACTCTACAAAAAAATTACGATATATAATAAGTGTATACTTTTCTTGTTACCCTTTTTATCGAAAAAACGTAGATTTCGTGGCGAATCGTATTAGATTTCAAAATCTAGAAAAGTCGCTGGAGACAAATGACAAGAGATGACGGGAATGAGTGACAAAGGAAAATAACGAAGAGGCGCATTCGTAAGAGGGAAAATAAAAGAAGAAGGAAAAGGAGGGATTGATTAAGGGTTGGGGAGAGGAACGGGTTAACGGAAAAGATCAGAACGTCGCGAACGAAGGTTCTATCTAATAAGGCTCGAACGCTACTTTCAAAGGGGTCGACAAATCGGCCGCGCGGTCATTAAAAATTAAAAAAAAAAAGAAAGGAACCCAAACACGAGGGAATCGAATGTAAGAGACGAAAGAAACTCAAGAAAAGCCCACTAGATATGCTAACGAACGAAAAATCCGGAACACCAGAAGGCCCAAAAAGCTAATGACTGCTTTTGCTGCACTTGTCGGTATCAATGTCATGTCTCTAGCACGCACATTACATGTAATCATGCGATTGTGCGTACGACGTGAGGTCGACTGGAGCGGCAGCTCGGTAATTTTTGACAGGATGGTGAGATGAGTGTTCGATCGGGACTATTTTCGCTCGGAATAGGATGAGTGGGTATTTTTTAACCCCTCCCTCTCGACGAGGGAGGGTATACGAATGAATCGAATTGGAGAGACGACTTTTCTTTTTTTACCGGATAAGCTGTTTTTTATCTATTTTTCTTTCTTTCTTCGAGAGACGCCGTTATCCTCCTCGTTCGCCGAAATGTTCTACGAAAGGTACGCGTATCAAAAGAGGATGATCGCGCTGCGCGATCTCCGATCAGTCGCGCTAGTTTCAAAATCTCTATGAAATCACAGTTTTACCACCACAGTTCTGTTTTACCTCCACTTCTTTAATCTCTCTTAACGTGTTTTATTTATTTATTTTTTTTTGTTATTTTCGCTCTTTCCGCGATATTTTTTCCTCGCGCGATCGCGCGTACGGTTTGCCTGCCGCAGCTCTGAAATGATTCTCTTTCCCGCTGTACTTTTTACATTCTATGTTCAAAGTCGCACGCAGAAATCGCGCGCAGCAGCCACGGAATAAAATATGCAACCGAAAGAGTGGATTGTTATCGTTATATATATTATCGTGTCGCGCTTAATCAGTCTTGTTCAATGAAAAAACCGAGACTCGCGGCGTCGTCCCGACGAGCCGACGCGCCCCCCTTTCGAAGGGGGCGCAGGCTCACGCGAACGAACCTCAAGCCCCGGTCCTTCTGGCTATAATCTCTATATAAAAATAAATGCTTTTTTGAATACCCTCAACAAGATAGAATCGTACAAAATTTGACTTTTGTCCTTTTGTTTTTTTTTTTTCTCTTACACGGAATCCTTTTTTTTTATCTCTTTATTTGTACAAAATATGTCGCTCTGCGCGCAGCACTCGAGTCGACCGTTTACGGATCGGTTACTCCGTATAACTTCTTTTTTTCCTCTCCTCTTCTATTCTTTTTTTTTTTTTGGTACTATTTTCGAAATGCACAGCCAATCATCCTCCACTAACTTACTTCGCGCTCGCGCTCACCAAGTTCCAGGATCACGCAGGATCACCCGGAGAAACTCGATTCGTCTCTATTTTATTACCGTCGGTTGTTGAAGCTTCCTTGCTCTCTATGCCGGAGTGTTACCCATCTGATGTATTATGTTTTTTTTTAATTTTTGTATTTCGCAATTTTTCTCATTCCCGTCAAAAAGCAAATCGCTAGCCGCGAGAAGTATCGGCCACCACGGTCGCGACTGATCGCTCCCGTTACGACCGATGCGGCACTCGCGATAAGTACAAAAAAATCACCTACTTGTATGTGTGTATGCTCGTTTTTTTTGAATTCGTTTTTTTTGATTGTTCCTTTTTTTTTCGTTAAAAAAAAAAAGGAACAATCTCACACAAGTAGGTGCGCCTGGCAACTACATCTTCCCGATTTGGTTTTGTACCATTTAACGCGCTTTAATGCGCGATGATCTAAAGAGACGCGGCGGAATTACATATGAAAGAGTCGCGAAAAATCGAAAAATGAAAGATAAAAAAATGCCTTTTACGACACGCTTATTTGACGGTCAAGACTACGGGTCTAGAATATTGGCCGAATTATCATTTTCATTCCTCGTCGCAGAAACTCCAACAACCGTGTCTGATCGGCAGAACCGACCCCGGCGGTTCCCTAAACGGGAGATGTGGAAGAACGAATGCAAATTAAACGAATTTCAAATAGTTTGCCGGAAGGATTGTGCGCAAAGTAGCTCTGTGTGTTTTAATATATGCGCTATGGACGCATGGCGTTCGAGATCCTCTTCCGAAGAAGAATTTAATTCGAAAGAGAAACACAACAAACAAATACTAATTTGCGAGACAAAAAAAAAATTAAATTGCTTATCTTATTGTTCAAAATACAACCATAATTCTCGGAGTAAACTCGCTCAGGGAAATGATACTTAACTTGCGCTCTGCGAATGCATGGCCAGAACGATGATGTGCGTTTGCGCTTTGCTCTCAGAAGAATGCGAAATTTCTGTCCTCGATGACGCTCTTGGAAAGAGGATCTTGAATGAAGCTAATAATTTCCGGGGCCTCCTCACGGGGCCGCGCTTTCTCTCTCTGATCCGCAGGTGATACTGGACGTGCAACAATTCTCACCGGACGAGATCACGGTGAAGACAGTCGACAACTACGTTATTGTCGAGGCCAAGCACGAGGAGAGACAAGACGAGCACGGCTACATCAGCAGGCACTTCATACGCAGATACGTCCTGCCACCATCTCACGATCTCGTCAATGTCACCTCGACTCTTTCCTCGGATGGTGTACTAACTGTCACGGCGCCCAAAAAGGTACAATCGAGCCAAGACCCACGTTAACATCCGCCCTGCTCTCTCATCCGCGGACACGACCGCGAACGAATAGAGCCTCTTTCTCTCTTTCTCTCACTAGCCCCTTCTATCACTCTTTCTCCCTCTCCCGTCTTTGTTATAGTTGGTGCGGCTTACGTTACATGTTTGAATTTTTTGCTTTTTGATTCCAATGTTTCCAATGCTGTGCCTCAGTATGCGGTATTAGAGGAGGCAGATGGTGTCGACGGTTTTGGATCAAACTACGAGTCTGCTCTAAACTACAAAATAGAATATGACTTGTTAACGTACGAAATTCAGCACGCAATGTTTATGTGGACAAGGCACATTTTTTTATATCAGTGTGCGTCGATTTTAAGGGAAATTATATATTGAAATTCGACGATATTTTAAAAAGCAAACGACAAACTGTCGCGAAAGAATGATAAGGATATATTCAGCGATTTCATCTGAATATCCTTAAGTTTCTTATTTAGTATTCTTATATTTAAAAGCGATTGCTTTTAAATATTGAAACTCATATCAAATTCTATTAAAATCGATGACACTTATTACTAATCGAGTTTCTACAGTTATAGTTTATCAGAAATGACATTTATGTAATCTTTTCTTACTTTTATCATTTTTATTATTATTTAAACGCTATTGTTAAATATCATTAAAGTATGAAAATCGAGATTTGATTTCAAGTATATTCAATTATATGTATATAGAATCGTTTTTAATTACTCATATCAAAGAGAGTTTTGATTTTAAACAATATATAAAACTAATAATAGATAATTATAATTTTTTTTTTCGATACCTCTAATGCATAAAAAAGTAGCTTTACATTATCGTAAATATTTTTTCTATATCATCGACGTAAGAATAGTTCAAAGCCGCGTTTATTATACTACGGCTTGTTATACTACGCGCTTGTTTAAACTATGGCTCGCATTGATTTTAATCATCGTATTTTTAACCCTTCTAGTTCATTGTCCATAAGCATAATCCTATTATAACTTAATGCATAATATATTATTGTCCCTAAATTTTATGCGCTTACCTGTATCTCGAAGTTCTCTCCTCATATTTGTTCAAAGTGTAAAGGTATTTCGAACTCTAATTCACGCCTGTCGTCGCGTACGGATTGTTCAAGCACCGACCCCGTAGGGTGCACTAAAAAACGCAAACGCATAGCTCTCATAATTCGCTTATTTTAATTTCTAATGATATTTTTCTCGCGTTTTTTTCAGAACATAACGCCAGCTAATACGGAAAGAGTCATCAATGTTATTCAAACGGGAGAACCAGCTGCCAAACCGGTTCCCGTCGAAACAACTGCAACCATCACTACTGCCGACTAAAAAATGTATTGTCTGAAACTCTCATTCCGGTATATTCGTTTTATTTCTTTACTTTCTCCATTTTATCATTCATGTAATGAAACAATTTTGTTAAATGATATAACAGCGCCATAATTTTAATACAATAATGTTTCTTTCTAATACATCATAGAGAAATATAATTTCTTAGCACGTTGTCATATGAAAATATACAATTGCGTAATGTTATTTTGTTGCAATGTTCAATAGAAATATTCGAGTTATCTTTCTCTTAATATGATTATCAATTAGAGTTGAACTTGAATTTAATTGATTCTCTTTCCTTGTTTCTTCCCAATCATAATTTATTGTTAGTTAAACATAGTATAGATAGTTAAACCATAGTTAAATTTAATTGACATTATTGAAAACAAGTCTAATACCAGATACCATGACAAAAATGTGTATATAAATAGAATTAAAAGATTGTTGTTAAGAAATATAATTTCTTAGCACGTTATTAATTAAAAAGTGAAAAAAATCAAGATATTAAATGTTCTAATACATTCATCTTTTTCATGTATTTTTCTATTACTTTTTCAATACTTTAAACAGTTATACAGCAAATAAATCATTTGTAATAATTCTCCTTTAAATTTCCATCGCAAGATGACCAAGGTCAGGCATGACGTCAATCATCTTCGTCACTGAGTTACAATAGAAAAGTCTAATCTACTCCGACTAGCTTAATAGATCAAAATCGCGTTAAACTTGTTACAAATGAAAAAAAGGAAAACCCAATGAAGGGATACCTACGGTAAACTGTCGCGCTCCGCACCTGGTGCCCGCTCGCCTACATTTTCCCGTGCCGGCGGTCTCGATGAAATAAGAAGCCCAAGTGTGTTACACTGATGGTGAAGGGTGAAGGGGTCTTCGGGTGTTCGCTGCTCCGAACTGAACCAGGGTTTGTTTACGAATGCGCCGAGCCGGGCCGGCCGGTTGCCTTATATAGGCGCGCGCGACGTGCCGCGTCGCGTCGCAGCGCATGGAAGCTTCGAGAGTCTCTCGGTCACCGCCACACATAATGCGCAATAGCATGCGACCGCTCTTTTCGGGCCCAAGAAGGGCCCAATGTCATCCGCGGTCACGATATTCGGCATCGCCAGGACGAAATCTGTCGATCGGTACGCGTGTCGGAATGTTTTTTCCATCGCATAGCTGAGAAATTAACGAATACCGAGTATTGATCGGCCCGGCCAAAGAGAGGCGACGGGACGGGGTTTCTGGCACGTTCTCTCCGACCGGGGGCCCCACCACATCACCCAACCCATACGCGAGCGAGCAAAACGACGTACCATACCCCGCCACCTCCGCGCATTGTCATTAGCACGGTCAACCGGTATATGATATAATACTGCCTGCGTATCTTCCCGCTAGTTGATGCCTGTGTGTATCTCGTTTATTTTGTATCTCGAAGAAAGATTATCTGTGTACGTGAGGATCGGGTAAAAAAAGAAATGATCATCTTTGGAGTCTATTGCGTAGTGAAGTTACTGCGCAGATGATTCCCTTCGTGTAGATGCGATCTTCAAGGACAACCTTGGTTCGCCCTAGTTCTGTTTTTATTTATTTCTTTAATAGTAGCCGGGTCCGCGTTTAGGATCACTGATTTATGTTGACTAGATACATTCCTAGACCTAGACGTGTGATAAAATTCGCATTCAATATGTAATGCGCGATAATGAAGATTCTGTTATCGCTAGAGACAAGGTCAGTTCCATTGGTAAACAGATTAAAGACGAATTATTTTCGTCGATACAAAGTGATGCCAAAAACAAAGGGAAGGGGCCGGCTTATATTATGATATAATATTGCGTCACATCGCATGCGTGCTCCACGTCGAAATGTTGAAACGCAATTTCTTCGGTCGGAGGCGTTCGCGGTGGGATTTCCGTACTGCGCAGGCAACCCGAACGACCTTCCAGCCGTTCCGGCGTGGTTTTTTATCAGCTCTTGAAACGAATGACAGCTATTTTTACGAGATTTCGAGGCGCGGTCGAGGCCTGGTCGGCTACGCGACTCGACATATTTGCAAACACACGAGAGAGTCGAGTTGACTCACGCATGATACGGCGTGATAGTGTGCGAATGGGCAATTTTCATATAAATGCGAAATCGCCGACAAAAATTGGAGATGGAAACATTGCGTAGTATCACCTGGACCATCGAAATAACGAGTATGCGAAGATAATTTTCGCTCGTGAAGATGAACGAAATCACGCGGGAAAAATTAATCTGCTCGTATTCATTGAAGATCGGAACGTCTTCAATGTTGCGAGCGTCGAGCTACGACATAATAGCGATGATACAACCGGGTTGCATAATATTACGTTCGTTCCTTTTTCGGCGTATCATGTACCGCTCTATCGATTTCCTTTTCATATCGCTCGTTAGGCCGACCAACACGTATATATCTCAGCTATAAAGGCAGCTTCTCTTTAAGCAGAACGCAATTAATGCAATTTTATTCAGGAGTATATAAGGGTCGCGCGCGCCAGATACTTATCTCTCCCTGCGAGATCGCCTTTTTGTAGGTCGCTAACAACGGCCGGCGGATTAGGCTCGACGGAAGGGTGAACGAAACTACTTCATACAAATATGTATGCACAATGTGCTGTGCGATACCTCGTTACATTCAGGTGTCATTCAGAACGGCGTAATGAAATGCGAAGATAGACGGTTGCCAACTATGTATGTTGCATTGAACGGCGCGTTGATCTGTGGGAACTTTCTCAACGACGTCTCTCTTTTTCCGATTTAAACCAGTAAAAACATTGTTGACGAAATAATTTGCAATTAATGAGCCTTCCCAGGGATATACCCTCTTCCAATCTCGGCGGATCACTGGAACAAATCGATTTACACAGTTAGAAAAAAATCGAGAACATATTTTTTTTTAATCTCAAGAAAACAGTTGATTAAAATGAATGACCGTTAATAAATGTCATATATTTAATTCAGATTGTGAACAAAATATAGCTGAAATATTCGAATCTGAGTTTATCGTTTGTAGAGCATATCGTTTGCAAATAAATTTAGAACGCACGATACGGACATTAAGCGTATGCTTTTTATGCTGTTTCACATTCTGATTGTTTGGTTCACGAATAGTTCTCTGAGATTTATGAGTGTTATTACTATAGCCGAATAAACAAGTGTCATCTCAAATATATTCTGCACATACATTTCCAGATATTTTATATATTTTTTAAATAAATTATATTTGCTCGAATAATTAATATTAATAATAATCACCTTTTTACAAATAGAAAAAAATTGTATTAGATATCAATAAATATATATATATATATATACATATATAATAAATGAATTTGGGACAGATCGTTAAAAGGGCAGATATTGAAGTTTAGAATGTTCCAGAACATTCGAGGTACAGCTGCAGCAGCTAATCGATAGATGCATGAAGCGAGTTATAGATATAATGTATAGAAAGTGCGCGAGTATTTGTCTCCGATCAACAAAATAAACATGTTTATTATATCTTCATTTCATCTATTATTTCTCTTCACAATTGTTTTTTTACGATAAAAATGGAAATTAAAATAAGGAGAAAGCAAATTAATTATTACTATATCATAAGTTATAAAATGCTGCATTTTATATAATCTTTGCAACTGATATTAATACTTTCAACTCAGATATAGCAATTATACATGATAATAATACGAGGGTATAAATTTCTTTTTTAATACATGGTATATTTTTTTTAACGTGACAAAATAAAATATAACTGTGTAAAGTTAGAACGTTTCCCTTACGTCCCGTTTATATTAAACCCGAGGAGTTGTTTATACATCATCGGAGACAGGATAATATCTCCATACAAGGATAAACAACTATTACGCAATAGGAACGAAAATCGCCCCACCCTAATCGAGCGCGCGCGCAAGCTTTATTCTGCGAGAGAGGAAAGGTACTACGTCGCAATATTCTCCCTCCGATCACTGCTATAAAGTTCTCCTCGCTGCCGAGAAGCATCGTGTTGGTTATCCCTTCATCAACTCGCTACATAAATAACGAACCGGGACGGCTTCGTGCTTCTCCGAGCACACGATAACCTGTCCTGCCCGTTGGACTAATTTTAGTTGTCCCGCTGGTAAGGCGTGACCTTGAACTCGACAGTCACGTCGGGTTGATGTTGCAGTCGGGGCGGGATACGATACACACCCGGATAGCTCTCGCGAATCTTAAATTCCGGTCGCGCGGACTCGATCAGTCGACAGGCAAGCCGGTTCGCAACGATCCGTCTGTGACACTTGCGATATGACAATGTATTGCAAAGTATGTATATTACCGCAGGGTAGTTTCAACCCCAGGGTCCACGCAGGTGTGGATGCGATTCGGCGCGCGTTCTCGAAACGTCCGTGAAACGCCCTGCTATCGATCGCATCTATGACCAGGTCCTAGCCGCCGAGAGTATGTCGCTGGGTGAAGGTTGATGAACCCGTTGTGACATGATGTTTGGCTAGTCGGTGCATATCCGACGCATCAAATAAATCGCGGTGGGATTAGACGAACTGTAATCTTAGGAGATTATGCATTAGGAATGTCGCGCGAATTGTGGAGATTTTTGTGCATAATATTTTTATATATACTTGGCGTCGCGACTCTACCGCGTCGCTTGATCCCATGAAAATTGTATTGTTTCCTGTAGTTAGCAGTTACGAGCATATATATTTTATTAATTCTGTTGTGTGTCTCTGATTAACATATGAATTATATAAAAATTTATTTTTGTACTGATTCTGCCGTCACTATATAAATATTTTTATATAATTATATTTATCAGAACAGAATTTACGTCAAAGTGATGAAAGGAGAGACAACTTCGAAGGAGATCCGAATTATTAGTTTTTAGGACATTATTATAATGACTATATATATAATTTATACTAAATACACGTAATCCCCATTGCAATTGCATATATTATAAATCTATAAGAATTATAGTATAGACATAAAGGTACATATAAGAAAGAAATATATATGTATAACAGAATTGAAAATATATCTATATCTATATATATATACACACATGCAATATACACACATTACATACGTTGAGAAGAAGAGAAGATCTAAAAGTAAAGAAATAAAAATAAAACAGAGGACTCAGCGTGGGTTCTTTCAATGTTCTAGAAATTTCCAACAGATGCACTTCGACCATATTAGATCTCATCCACTAAGATGTTTATTTTTGAACTGCCAAGAAAGTTGAATCGTACTTTTCCAGTATGAAGTATATAATTCTAAGGAATATATATAATAATATTAAGGAAAGAGAAATTCGAAATAAACCTTTTAAAAATTATATATATATAAGATATATATTTTAGGATTATATAACTCTCTGAGTAATTTATATTTTTATTACGCAGCGCGTGTTCCTTCAAGAAATGCTGAGATTATAGAGTATGAATTTATCTAACCCGATACGTATATACTACACGGGGTTTGATGTACGCCGCGAGCGACTTAATTTCCGTTGTCAGGCGATCATATGGGCTGATGCATCGTCTATAAAGCGATATCTTATTCCACATCGTACCCTTCCCCGTTTGTACACAGCCGCATTTATCATACGGCAGCACATTGTGTGCGTGATATCGGTATCGACGTGCTTTCGTGGCTGCGCATGCACCGACGACGATGTACATATCCCGTACTTCACTTAAGCTAATGATATCAGTCACCAATCAATTTATGCACTCCACGAGCGAGGGAAAAGCGGTAATTTCACATTTCGAGGAACGTTGCGTGAAAATTTATTGCGAATGATTATTGTTATATTATTGCACTTACGCGCGCTTAAATCAGCATATATTTTAATATATAATTATATATAATAATATAATATTAATTATATATAATATAATATTTCTAATATTTCAATGAAAAGGAAGATTGTTATCGTATTGTTTGTCGTGTTTTATATCGTTATATCATGTTACATCCGCCATCTACTAAAGCTTAAAGTTACTTTAAAGAAACCTGACCAATAGATGATAATTTAAAGAAAATGTATGTGATTCATAATAGATGTATATTTATCTATCATGTAATTGTGTATTATGTAATATAAATAACATAAAACATAAATATACATAAAACTGATTAAAAATATTAATTATATATATTTTAATTTATACAGAATATAAAATTAAAATTGTTAAACTTGAACTTTACTTATATGGTATGAATTATTCGATTGTGACAAAACATTAAACAATTTTTCATCAACAAAACAAATAGATTCTTTTTGTTTTTTCTGCGAATAACATTTGATAAGCATACGTTCCAAGTAAAGCTCCCAAGATAGGACCAAGCCAATAAATCTAAGGAAACAAAAAATTAAATAAATAAAAATTTAACAGAAATAAGAAAATTAAAAAATAAAAAATTAAATTATTAAAAACATATTTTATTTTTTAAATATAATATATTTTATCTTTTTATAATTTAT